CATGAAAATTATAGTCGTAGCAGTGTTAATAGCTGATTTAATTCATGTTGAACTTTGACTGAAATATTGTGTGAATTCATACTTGTCAAATGTCGTTTTATTACAAATATCTAATCAATTACTTTGATAGATAAGGTACTCCCATCTAAAAATATTATTTACTTAAATTGAATGCTGAATGTTTAATAGTTATGTGTGCACTGTCTAATTTTGTTACCATCTCGACAGTGTAAACTATAATTCTCTGTCATTTACATATGATAGGTATAAATATAATAAAGTGCTAGAAATGATATTTGTGTTAAAAGGACAGCTTTCGAGTGAATATCAAGGCATTTACCTTTTGAAAACAAGATGCTTTCATTCCTAATTGTCAACTATATTTTTTCTTTAACCATAATCTTAATCATAATGATTGATGGTTTCTCATTTAGTTTAACAACCATAATGGAAATACACTGTAGACTTTAATGTATACTCAGTCGTTCAATCTTATGATGACTTAGTCTGTTAAGCTGTGGTAGTGCTAGTCTCATAGGTGGGGGAGGTTGAAGGTTTGACTACCAGTTTGGTCTTAGCATTAAGCTTCTTCTCTATTGCACTCAACATTAAGTGGATAATACTTAAGATGGACATCTGTGCAGTCTGACAAGGTCTCTTTACTCTTGGTAATTATGCTGCCATTGCCCCTAGTATGTCACGTAATTAGCTAGAAAATATAAGTCATTTTTTGAAGATTTTTTGACAGAGTTATCTATCTTGAACTTTGGCTGGATGTGGGGGCATTTGTGTTATTACGTTTTGTTTTTGGGACTTAAAAATTCAGGCAAATCCATTGCACAAAGTCTGCAAGTTAAGGGCTAACATTGAGTCCTCGTTAGTTCATTGTTTAATCATGTAGAGGCGATATGAACATGTCCTGCGATTTACTGTTGAATGTCAGTATATATTTGAATAGTTAAATATTTGTTAGATTGTAAATTATGCCTGGAGACATTCATTCTTGTATAATTGTTTTTATTTCATGGCTTGATTATTAATCATTTACACATGTGTATAGGCTGCAATTTTAATCAAGTTTTAATTTCCATTTGTCTAATTTTTTCTGAGCATGTCTGGAACTTTGAAGAAAAAGCATGGTCACTGCTTCCTTAAGGTAAAAGGTAAATGTAGGTATATGTGACAGTGTCAAAATGCAGGGGGGGGGGACTTTATCATCACTTTACATCATTATCAATGTGAAAGCTTTCTGTTAAAATCTGAGTTTTGTTTTATTATCTGGTGGAATACTTGATTGGAGTGCTGAAGAAATCCCTTGAGGGGATTCATTTAATACCTGGTCTGGGATCTAGGGCAGGTTGTGTACATTAATGATAATTAAAAGCTGTCATATTTAATGTTTTGTTGGTTTCTGTTCTCTAAGTGTGGCATGTGTTGTTCAAGGGCAAACAGACAATGTCCTATTGTTCTCTTACACATTACTTCATGACTGTATTCTTTTTTCAGAGATCAATAGATATTGATTATCTTTTGTTTTTTTGTTGTTTTTAATTGATCTGTATTGGTTATGAATAAAATTCTACAAAAAAATATTCTTAAAGCTTATTAGCTATTTTGAAATTTCTTTTTTGTTAGAGAATGAAATTTAATGGTTCTACTGAATGTGTAGGGGGGATTGATTTATCAAGGACAGCGACATTAGCTATATTTAGGCAAATGTTGAACTGTAAAATTTACGATACTGTATAAATGTTTTAGTCATTATTTTTTAACAAACCCGAAGTAAGCTTTGACACAGAACCAAGATTTATATATAAGGCCATTTTCCAATATCAGCCATTGATTCTTGTTAATGGAAATAATAGATTTTTCTGTTGATGACATCTGTGACATGGGGTTTTCAGGAAATATTTTGATTGTATTTGCGTCAGAGCACAGAAAGCTACTTACACTTGAACCTACTGGTTTTATCATACGATGTTGCCAGTCTTGCTCCTAATCTAACTCAGACTATATTATATTGTATATTGATGGCTCACATTCACACATAACTGAATTATTCTCAGCGATTTTTTGCTTTGTCAAAAATTGAAAATATGGAAAGAGAGGACTTTTGGAAAAAGATAAATTGCAGCGATTTTTTTTCCTTCTTTGATTGGGTCGAGTGAACAGACCCTTCCCAATAGCAAATATTATGTGAAAAAATTTTCAAAAACAAGTCATATTATATTGCGTTAATTTTTTTTTAATCCCATTCCCAAATTTGGTATCACACCACACTTTTTTTCCCAATTTGACTGAACCTGGACTTAAAAAAAAATCATGTATTGTGGGTTGTTGTGCCCGCCCGGATGTGGATGTTTATGTTCCCGTCATTTACCATTTTGTCCCTACTTTAGTTTCGTCACACTTTTAGTACAGTTTATTCTAGCAAGGTCATTTCTTGACAAATGTCTAACATATTTTAGTATGGTGATACATGTACCTTGATAGTTCTCTCATTTATTGTCAAAATATCATATTTGAGCCGCGTCATGACAAAACCAACATAATGGGTTTGCGACCAGCATGGATCCATACCAGCCTGCGCATCCGCGCAGACTGATCAGAATCCATGCTGTTCGCTATCATATTCTCTACTTGTAAAAGGGTTGGTAAGCGAACAGCATGGATCCTGATCAGACTGCGCGTATGTGCAGGCTGGTCTGGATCCATGCTGGTCGCAAACGCACTATGTTGGTTTTGTGGTGACGTGGCTCATTTGTGATGTTCCTCCAACTTTGGGCGGAGCTTTTAGCAGTAATGTCTTGTTTATACCACTTTTCCTATGACATAAATTGCTTTGAAACTTTAAATGCTTTATAGATACTATCACCTCCTCTGAGAGTCAGGAGTATATTATAATTTTTACTGACTGGCAAAATAATGCCTCTATATTTCAGCAAACCTTTTAAGATGTGACTTTAAAGCTTCAGTGGTTTTTCTCACTTAATTGGGAAGAGGCTTTAGCCTCTTGATTTTGGGAAGAATTATGCTTAAATTACTAATTTGGGAAGTAAAAAATATGGTGTAGCTTCAAATTTTTAGAAAAATTTCATGATTTTAAAGAAAATTTTCATCAAAATAGGGCTTTTATGTAAGGTGAAAGATTACAGTCAAAGCATGTATAATGAACATGTAAAAAATTGTTATATGTTTTATAATGACACATTTATTAATGAGGTTAAATTGAACATGTGAAATAAATATACTCTAGCTGAACTATAGAATGAACTTTGAAATATATAAATTTGTCAGTGTACAGTGTGTCGCATAAGTTCAGACCACAAAATTAGTCGGAGATAATTATATTCACTGTCAGGTATCTTAAATCAGTTGAGAAGAGGATATTGTGGCTGTATGTGATTAATTTTGCCTTCTAGGAAACCAAAATGCTTTTGGTAGATCTATATATGTGCACTCATTTTTCTTTAAGGGTATTTAAAGGATATATATACAGGGCTCTGTTAAACTTTAAAGAGGGAAAAAATAGGTTCCAATGGGAAAAACATGTCTGAGACCATTAAGGAAAAAAATAATGAAATAGAGAAGCAATGATTCTAAGCAAAAAATGTCTCTTCGAGATGTTTCAATTGTTTTATTAACTAAATGTTTTCTCAATTGTTTAATTAATTTAATGTTTTCGTTTTTACAGATCATTCATTTTGGATAGACAGATAGGGCCTAAGTTTTAGACATTTTGAAGCTATCTAAATCTTAATTTGTACTTCTGTATTGCTGGGACAGCTATTGCATCCATTATTTTCAAACTTGTGTAATTCAGTTACTAAGACAGAAAAAAATTGCTTTAAAATTGTATTTTAGAAAAATACATTGATCATATATCATTGAGTATCACTGGGAAAAATCTGAATTTTAATGTGCTGTATTATGTTTTATAACTAACCATGTTCTTTTTCTCTCGTTATAATCAATTTTATGACGATATAAATTGATGTCATCATCCCTTGTTGAATATTTAAGAGTTGAGTTTCATTAACGATGCACTTAAGTTTCAGGAAATTGAAAGAAACGGTGCAGTGGATGCAAAAATGTTCCATCTTAATCTTTATTTCATAAGGGTTGTTATAGTTTTACATTGATATCACTCAGTCAGCTATCCCATTTTAAAACTCAATGTTTGTATCTCGAACTTGTTATATCAGTGGCATTTGTATGGCTGTTCATTCTAGACGTTGTCTATTTCTGGTACAATAATGGGCTAAAAATGCTGATTTTTAGCAAATTACACATTTCAAGATGTTTAAGAATGACTTTTATTTCATAAAGGATGGGCTGATGTCTGCTTAGACTAGAAAAGATGTTGTGGGGGGGGGGGGATAAAACACTTGCCAGTTTTGTCTTGCTAAGCACTGTTGTTACTGTGTTCTTAATATCATGTTGATTCTGACCAAAAGCCTTTTTGGCTGCAGTATGCCAGACAATGTCTGTGAAACAGAAACAAATGATTTCTTAACAGTTATGATCATATAAGGGCAAAGAAAAAAAATGAAGAGTTTTACAAGGAATAACTTAAGTGATGACTTAATAAAGGACGTGATCAATGTGTTTTATTATACTGTGATGACATCACTATACGCCATAAACTATCAATTTTTTCAAGGAAGTGAGATTCAGTATTGGCTGTGTCACAGTATAAGATGTATAATAATTATATTGTATATATCACGTTTTGAAACCGTGTAACAAATTTATTTATTACAATTCATAGGTAAATTAAATTTAGGCCTAAAAGTAATTATTTTATGTTTTATTTTTCCGCATAAGCTGATCTGTATGTACAAACGAACCAAGCCGACCCTACTTGTTGTATCGAGTCACCTCAACCACTGTGACTTTATGTTAAACATTAAATAATGTTTTCAGTTCTTGATTTTTGACAAAGTATGATCTATTCATAATGAAATTTAAAAAGGAAAAAAAAAATCTTTATGTTTCAGATGCATGAAGTCCTCCACAAGGAAAGAGCATCATGTTTAAAAATCAGCGAGAAAGTTTTAGAGACGAGCTTTGCCTGTTTGTATTGATACAAGCCAACCATTCTGCATGCCTTCACTACTACTGCCTAGATTCTCGCTACTGGATATGTCTGACAAGAAATCACCTCCAAGGAAGGTAATTTAGTCTGTTTTACATGATTGTCTCCCCTTCTTTGTGAGTGAGCTTTGATAGAATTGCCACCACACTCATAATAAGGAATGATAATAATAACAGGGATTTTCCATAGGACTAGGCAGATATTTGGCAACGTCCCATAGCCATGTTCCCCTACCCCCACAAGAGTTGAGATTCCACCAAAATCTGAAAATTTCTCTCTGAAATTGGTAAAGTAAAAGGTTAGCAGAAGCAGCGTGGGAAGATATATAATTATAAATGGATACTTCCTGGAAGTTCCATATACTGAGTAATTGTGATATATATGAGATTAAAAATCCAGTACAAACCACATTAGGCCTTCGTTGCTCTCTATGACTTTAGATGCATGTTGTCTATCATTTTAATTTCCGGATTTCTTTTTAAACCAATTATGACTTCAAGTCAAATGCAAAGTTTATTCTGATAGATGAAGTGTCTGTTGGAAAATGTTCACCCTTTATGTTCGGTCTATAGCCTCTGTCTGACTTCCCACTCTAAAGGTTTTGTTAAAAGGAAGCAATGCTCTTTGTAAATGGAATAGATTCTCAATAGAAAATTAACAAAAGGTAGGCATGGTGATGTATGGGAAAATTAAAACTTGAACAATATCTGACATCTCCATAACATTGATGTATGAAAATTTAATGAAATACAGACATTGGGTCTTATAATGATTATAACCTTATTATACTTTACTCCTCCTGGACATGACGTCATACTGGCTGTTACATCTTTACGCCCCTACTTTCAGAAATAACCCAGGTTTAGTTGTTGTTTTCTAAACATAATGACACCCTTGTATAATATATGCATTCAATTTCAAATAACTACAGCTATGGTTTTAAAGAAAATTCTTGCATAAAAACTGTATACCCAGACATTAACAGAAAAAAAAACAACATGTGAGCATGCAACTATGGCTTGCCTCAATGTTGCACCTTTTTTGAAAACACGTGGCTCAGGTGCATAATAAAACAGCTTACTGCATAACTGTCAAATGACATTGCACTTGTAGGCGTAAAGCATGATGAAAACGATTTCTTAATACGAAACACAAATAACAAAACGCAGGATTACCAAATTAGACATAATTATACCATTATGCAAGAATATTAATACACCAATCCTCTTTTTTTGTGCATTAACATCTAGGAAGACCTAGGAATTATAAAATCACTTTTAGTGCCTCCTTGTGCTTCTGCAGATGTTAATTCCTGGAAAAAAATGTGCATTGACCCACTTTTTTCATAATATAAATGACATTTTTTTTAAGGAATTGTGGTTAACTGAAGACAAAAAATTGTTTTTTTTTATCAGCTGGTATAAATACATGTACATGTATCGTGTACAAATTTGATATGGAATTGGAAACTGTAAAAGTTGAGATATTTAAAGCACAATTTTTTTTTTTTTTTTTTTTCCTCTCAAAATGTTTCATGTTGCACATATAAGGCACAGAACGTGACTTGGTGTAATAAGAGTATGCCATGTGTAATTTTTTGTTTATTATGACAGGAGAACATGCTTTTTATGCAGTTTTATGAATGTCACATTGATTCATTTAGTGGATAAGGTTAGTTGTTAAATGTACAGAATGGCCTAAATAATGGTAGCATTTACTAAGGTATATTTTGTGTACAGTATATTCTAAAGTTACAAGAAATTTCCGTTTTGATGAAGCTTTAATTCTTGGCAGTTTGTCTATTCATTTTAACGTACACATCCTTTACACTTGCTTACAGTATGTCATTACAGTTACGCTATGGACTGATATTTTAGATATTCACCACTAGTAACGTTTATGGACTGATATTTTAGATATTCACCACTAGTAACATTTATGGACTGATATTTTAGATTTTCACCACTAGTAATGTTTATGGACTGATATTTTATTTAGATATTTGGAATGATTGGTTCCTTCCATAAAGCTCTACAATTTTTGCAGTGTCTATCTTCCTTTTCTTTTAAATCCCTGATGAGGACGTAGACGCCCTGGGCATTTGAGTCAAGTTCAAGGTCACTTAGGCCAAAAATAGATTTTCTACTTTTTCTCAGACTTGAGCCATATTTTTAGCTTTATCAAATGTTCAAATTGTGTTTTTCCTGAGGCAGATTGTCAATATAATCTTACTGTTTACAGTAAAAATCTTGATTAGGGGAAATAACAACTTACTCTATCAACTTTAAGTGTGTTTTTTGGTCTATTTCTTAAAATCTTTTTGATGCTTATTATTGGCGTCCGCGCCGAAGCGCGGCGCTCTTATGGAATGAGATCAGATTTTGTGAAAGGGCGACAGCAACTTCTCGAGCCTTTTAGTCGGTCATAATAAAAGCCGAAAATTCCGATCGGTATGAGGGTGCTTGATTATTAAATAAGAATGAAATGTCGCTATATGTTACAATGAATTTTCGCAATGCAAACATTTACAAATGAAATAACCTTTTCCGTCAATAAATCGCGCTCTTCGGGGTTTTTTATTTATCATTTTGTAGTACACAGTCGGTTATCATGTCATGGTATGTTATTGTTGTACATGTATCCTAGAATGATCAGTTGATGACCTAAATATTCCAAAAACCTATTTATAGATATATCTTTTTATCACTCCTATCGGTAAATGCCGGTCTCTCCCGGTCTATTTTGACCAGGATTTACTAGTGACCGGCGAATAGTATGTCCGGTCTCTCCCGGTTTTGGAGTAGATGTTTGATATCGTTACAATTAGAAAAAAACAACAATAGCATGTTTCATTTTATCTATATGAGATAAAAACAATAAATATGTACACGGATTTATATGTAATTTATGGTATTTTTTATGGTATTAAAATGACATTATCAACTTTGACATTTTATTTAATTATTCAATTTGTTATCCGTGTTTAGTAAAGATGCCGAGGAATTATTCAAAGTTACAAATTAGATTTTATGAATTATTCAATTGATCGATAATTTAAAAAATGATAAAGAAAAATACAATGTACATGTACATAGTTTAAGAATAAACAATATTATATATTGAAAGATAAACCATAATTTACTGACTTTTTCCAGTTAAGCTTTGACTTATAATCGTCGGTCAATATGACAATTGAATTCTTAAAATTAATTTTACAATTTTAATAAAAAAGAGTAGTAAAAACTCAGTATTAAAATAGCACATAAAACACAAAAAAGAATAAAAGAAAACAATATTCATAAAATTTGTATTTTTTTTTAATTAAAATTAATAGATATTACAATTATTGTATAATAAACAATTATGCTCAACATGATCAACATGGTAATACATTGTATAACCAGTGTCATATTTTTACTAACTTAAAGTGTGAACAGATACCTTAAGGGGGTCTTCGCTAATAGCGATAACATGTACATAATAAGGGACAAATGTGTGGTACGTGTTGATCATGCGTTACACATATGGATTATAAATGATTGCATACATGTATATCCGTTGCTATTAATAACCACGATCATAAAGAAATAACAAGTAATATTCTAATCTCTAGCATGCCAATCAAAGTTCATAATGAACAATGTCTTTCGTCCGCTCATTCATAAGTGGTATACATTTCTGGTAGTTTATAAGAATATCTTGTCATCATATGTGTACTAGTTCATCTTCACTTGCTGCATTTCTTGCTTGGACGCCCTTTGATGCTTTGCATCAATGCTTTTCTTGTAATATGATTATCATGACTTCATGTTATTTCGCGGTGATTAGTGCTTCGGAGGGATCATTCTTTCTCCAGATTTTTCTAAATTTTAAAGAAATTGCATTCAAATAACGCATCAGTAATTGTTTTGCATTTAGACGAGCAAAGCCTGGTAACAGCGCTTAAAAAGGTCAAGGTCACCTATATATGGATAATGCTGTACATAAAAATCTGATTTTTCTCCCAGAGGAAACAATTTCTAAAAGTCTAGGTCTGTTTCTGTTTCATGTTAATTGATCTTTGTGTCATTATTATTGATTTTACCATTAACACACTTTGACCATTTTCTTTAATAGGGTAGTTTGGTTCTGAGGCTCGCTCGTATATGGAAACATATATGGAGTTCAGATGATACAATTATTTGCTGAAAGGGTTTTTAATTGGAATTTCGTGTCGTATATTTTTCTCATTAATATGTGCTATCATTTTGAACGTAATGCAATCAGGAAAAAATTGTTATGTTAAAAGGTTACTGCGGTGATTTATTATGCATTTATTCAGTGCTACAGATAAGCAGCGTATCTGCGTAATTACCCAATAATTTTGACCAATTTACCCAAATAAAATAAAAATTTTGCGTAATAAAAACGCAAATCAAAATATCAGTACCCAATTTGTTTTGATACTCTAGCGTATTTTCAATATCTTGGACCATAATTCACCTAGCAAAAACTGCCAAACAAATCCGAAAATAGCCTGTTTCCCTTTCTGTACTTTCATTTTCCATTTGTTAACCGGGAACAATTGAGTAGACTGGTTATATATTAAAGATATTTTTTAGCGGAAAAGCTTTATATACTTATGAGAGATAACTAAATAGCAGTCCAGACTGAGGTTTATTTACTTTCTGCTTCAACAAAATGGCGAAACGGGGCTGATAAAAATTAATTATTTCGATGCAGTCTAACAAAATATTTGGTTATTTTACCGAGCCAGATGTTGTAAAAAATTTGTTAAATGAACTTTTTAGACAATGTTTGTTAACAGTCTTTGTGTATATTGTTTCCGAGATCCTGGACAATATTTTGACCGATGCAAATCTATGCAAACCAATAAATTTTTCAATGATACCCAATTTTGTTTCTGTGTTACCCAATTGCTTGTCAAGTCCAGGGGTAAATACCCAATTAACTCAAAAGCTTATCTGTAGCTCTGTTTATTGTTTTACCTTTTCCCTAAACCCCTGAGGGAAATTAAATATTTTTATGTCATATTTTATAATAAGGTCATCCATCTGAAAATTGTTCAGACAGCAGT